AAGAGAAAAAGCTCCTACAAAGATTTTTAATAAAGACATATTCTATACCATTTTCTGTAATTTCATTATTTTGTGGAATTAGTGTAAGAAACAAAAATCAAAGATGATCTGATGGTGGAGTCAAAATTTCTGATTATTTTGAAAAATATTACATTTTGAGAGATTTTGTCACTAGGGATCCTAAGTGTACTAGTAGATTAGACAAAAGGAAGGAGGAAGGTAGGCATGCTATTTTTATTTTTAGCTTATTTCTAGGGAAACAGTTTTGAATAACACATTTGCAGAATTCTAACTCCAAATGCATTTAAGAACAATTCACCATTCCTGAAAAACTTAGTGGAAATCATGTTTACTACCACCATTGGCCGGCCTGGTCCAGAACAGCTGCGTGCAGTAGGGGCACAGCCCCTGGGAGATGCTTGACTCCTTTTAAATTCTCCTGGAAAATTTACCTACCATTCTTTCCTTCCCACTGCCTATTTAACACTAAGTTTAGCTTCCTATGTCCTAGCAAGATTTTAAAGGAAAGGGGGCAGGATGCAAGGACTCTGGCTGTTTTTCATTATATTCTTTCAGGGCTCATTTATGCATACTACAATGGATCTTAGAAACTTATTTATCATTTTAACTAGTTTATATTCACTTCACAAAGTTAGTTCATCTTATCTTACTTTGTTTATAAGATGGTACTCTGAATTGCTTCTAGGCACAAACATAAAATGTATAGTTTAGTACAGTGCAGTAGCCACTAAAATTGTTCTTGTATCCATTTCTAAACCTTGACTAGTCTCAAAAGAGAGCAATCATTGATTTTTTTTTTCCACAAAATGCTGGTTACTGGGCTGGTAGAATCGAAACCTAGGTCTCTCTTGAGCGAAGGACAGAAGCCAGCTGTACCCCCGGTCAGAGTGACCATCTCCTCCACCCTACAATTCAACTCTAATTTTGAAGAGAGATTTGAAGATCTTGTTTTCTTTTTTCTTCTTTCTGTCTTTGTTTTTTAAAAGATGGAGAGAGAACACCCTAACTCCAGTGTTAGGAAATGGGAGCAAGGAATATTATGCATAAGACATTTTTTGGATTTTTTTTAAAGTATGTATTTTGGTAAGAAAATTTTGGAGAAAAGTTCATCTATCATTCAATTAAGTTTACTATTTTCTGATGTATTTCCTCTCCTCCTCCCAAAGGAGAACGTTTGCATTATTATGTGCTTTCATTAATCACTTAGCCCCTAATAACTTATAAGCTTAATATATCATTTTCATTGGTTTTATTCCTGAGTAGGGAAGTGACTGTCTATTGCATTTTTGAAGCCTATTCCTTTGTCTTTTTTTTTTTTTTGAGATATGATTGGCAGACAGCATTGTATTAGTTTCAGGTGTACAGCATAATGACTAGATATTTGTATATGTTGTAAAATAATCACTACAATAAGTGTAGTTAATATGTATGAGCACACGTAGTTTTTTTCCTTAGAATAAGAACTTTAAAGGTCTACTATCTTAGCAACTTTCAGATATATAATGCAGTATTGCTAACCACCGTCACCAATGTGTACATTTCATCCCCATGAATCACTTATTTTATAACTGTAAGTTTGTACCTTTGACCACCCTCACCCATTTCACCCACCCTCATCTTTCATGATCGCTTATTGAACTAGATTCCACATCACAGGATACTTTTCAGACCTTGCACTGTTTCTCTGCTCCGCATTTGTGGAGCATCAGTTGCTTTTTTGCCATCAGGTGTTGCTTTCTCTGTCACCTCCCTTAAAATACCCATCTTAGAAGCGATGCCAGACGTCTGAGCACCTACTTTCCAATACTTCCCTCTGTGTGTCCTCCTTCCCAGACTGGGTAGAATAGAAACTCCTCCTGGTTTGCTGATCACTATAACACAACTGTATTGAAAGGGGCTCGGGGGAAGGGTCCCATCACTCTGTAGAATTGCTTCTTTGTTACCAGGTACAGTCTGTAGAGAGACATTCCTGACCCTACTCCGCACTGACGCCCACCCTCATTTTTTAATGAGCAGAAAAGAGCCTGAAGATATTTTAAAAACTCGGGGCTGAATTGGGTGAGCCTTTTCAGAGAACCACTCATTTCCTGTTACCCAGAAATACCAATTTAAAGTATGAAATGAAGTATCATGTGTGTTTATTACTGAGAGGACTGTTAGAATTTTCACTGAGGTCCTAGGCTGAAAATAAATGATTAACCTCTAACCAAAATAGTCCCTTATCCATCCTTCCCAACCAGTATGTGTTATATACCCTAATTCAGTGAGGTACCATAATCGGGAAGCCTACAAGAAGTAGAGCATGCCCATTCCTTACAACAAGGGTCAGCAAACTTTTTGTAAAGAACCAGATAGTAAATATTTTAGTCAGGTCCCACATTCTCTCTTGCAATGCTCAAATCTGCCATTGCTGGAAAACAGCCATAAACAATACCTAAACAAATGAATATGACTGTGTCCCAATTTTAAAAACTTACAGACATGAAAATTTGAATTTCATGCCATTTTCCCATGCCACGACATAGTCCTCTTATGACTTTTTTCCAACCATTTAAAATCATAAAAACCACTTTAAGCTCACAGGTTGTACATAGCCTATGGGTCACAGTTTCCCACCCCTGATATAGATTTTAAGAGGAAAGGACAAAAATACCATGATTAAACAGTCAAAATGAAAGAGAAGGTATGACTCTCATAATTGTGAGGAAGAAATCAGACTATTGACATTACTTTGGGTATACAAAGAAATCCAGGGAGCACCGGAGGCAGTCAGCTGTCCCCAGGGTGAGGTGTTCTAACCTCTGACAGCCTTCTTGAGAAGAGAGTGGAAACTCTTGACTCCTCCTGACCTCCCAAGCCCAGCCCAGTTACGGCTCCCCTTCCTCTCACTCTGTCTGAAGTGGCAGGCTACAGGTACCCCAGCTTTTCTAATCCCAGTCATTCTCAGGTGACATTTCCACATCCTCCTCCCATACAACTGAAAAATGCTTTTCCACAACTGAGAAAATCCTGTTTTCTTTCCTTCTTAGGCCTTGTGGTCTCTGTAGCTGCTTCCACAGTAGGAGATAGCTAGGAGTTGCCTGTTGGTGACAAAAAGTCAGCTAGCTGAGGTCAGTGTCCCAAAGATGGACGTATTTTTGAAGAAATGATTTATATCAAGCTCAGCCTCTTGGAACCCATGCTCCCAGGACATTTCAAAATCACACAGAGATGGCCTGTAAATAAAAACATGTGGAAAGTTGCCACTCATATACTATATAGTAAACCCGTAATCTTTCTAAGTTAAGGGTCTTGCTAATTTTTTTTTTTTAACTCCTGCTAAACAGACACCTGCAAACTCATTCAGGACATCCAGAATGAGTCAGAAGTTGAGTTTGGGTTAACTCACTCAAGAATTAAAATTAAAAAGTATCCTGGAGCTTTCTGTGGGCCACAATTAGTACATTGGTATTTCTAGATTTAACTGCTCTGTACTATTCACTCACTCCCAAATGGGCCACTTCCTCCTAAAAGGATATCCTATAGATAGCATTTATTTAATGGTTGAATGAGAAATGTCGGGTCCAATTTGGTCTAGTTTCCCCAGGTAGGCATCACCTGTGCTCTCATTCACAAGGCTTAGTAGTTTCCTGTGCGTGTGTTGATGTTTTATTAAGCACTTGCTTGATCCTGTTCTAGGCTCTGAGAATACTGAAATCGTCCTTGACTTTTGCGTATTCAGAAACAAGTAGAGGAGAAAGGCATCCAAGTAAAATATTTATAATATAGTGTGATAGGTGATTTAATAGGAATAGGAAGTGAGTAATTTGGGAGTATCTAAGAAAGTAGAGCTAACTCTGAGGACATGACAAAAGCTGAGATGTGAAAAGAATTAGCCATTTCACTCAGCCTAGTAAAAAGCACTGGATTTGGGTCAAGCGTATCTTTTCACTGACTCTGGGCATGTCACTTTGCTACACTGACCCTCAGTTTTTCTCATCTGTCAATTGGGGTTAATAATACTCCCTTTGCAGCTCTATACAAAGGCATTATCGGCAAAAGCTCCCTTGGCTATCTTAGGCCCTTTTCACCAGTGACTGTGTGGCCAAGATGCCGTGCTGTTAACTGCTAGATGGAAGGGACAGAAGGCGAGATCAGTTTTTGAGGGGTTGCGTGGGGACAGGGCTTCCATTCTGACCGAGAGCCAGGAAAAAATGCACCTGGGTCACCTATTGTCCTGCTCCTCCTGGGAGCATGTCTGGACAATGGATAGTGTGTCTTTTCCCAGCAAAGCCTTTGCATATTTTACTGTCCTTAACAAGTTGACTGAGGGACCTGGTCAAATTACATACTTCCTCAGACTGCTTTTTACTGTGAGTTTCAACATTAGAACCAACTTGATGATTCCTCAAGGCTCACCCGAATTCTTAAGTCACTGGAAAAGGTAATGAAACTCTATGTTATTAAGATATCTATGATTCTTTTCCAATATACAAGCAAAAAGTAAATTTTTGGATAATAGGTACTTGGTAAATAATGCGGTGGATGGTTTTACCTTTCAGTGAATTTTGTACATATTCTCAGTGAATGATGAATGGACATTGTATCCTAAAATAGCCTTCAACAGTGGAAAGGATGTATATTTGGGGGGCATTTTGAAACAAAACAAAACCAATTACCCTTAAAGCCAAATCAACCTCTGTCAGAGCTCTAACAATGCCTTGAGTCTACCATTTAGATATTTTGACTGCAAAGCAACCTGCCTGCAATTGAGGGTGCAAGTGTTAGCCAACTTTGCACGTGTCACAACTGGAGAGATGAGATTGAAGCCCCCCACCTGTCTGACCCCAAACCCACTGGGGGATGGGTAAGGTATCCTGACCAAGGGCTACCAAATGGAAAATCCACTGAGAGCAACCATTTCCCCAAATACAGCACCGGCTTGGTTATTATGGAAAAGTGATGGAGCACCAAAGCGTGTGTCCCTTTGTTTCTTCCAGGGGAGAAGCCCTACAAGTGTACCTGGGAAGGCTGCACCTGGAAGTTCGCGCGTTCCGATGAACTGACGAGGCATTACCGCAAACACACGGGAGTGAAGCCATTCAAGTGCGCAGACTGTGACCGCAGCTTTTCCCGGTCAGATCATTTGGCGCTGCACCGCCGGAGGCACATGCTGGTGTGAGGAATGCTCCCTGGCCAGCTGGGCCGAAGAGCTGGGTCTCTTGGCAGCACCCAATTCAGCAGGGCTGAATCCCCTTCACAGTGTTAACACGAAAGGGCATCACCACCCCATGATGCCTGAAACCCAGAGCAGGAGAAAGAAATAGCCCTTCTCCTTTTGGTCGGAAGGTAACCCCTATCACGACTACCCGAGAAACGTCTTCACGCTGGCCTGGGAGATCGGGGACACAGATGCTGAAGAGACAGGCATTGTTTTCCGTGCTGTGTACTCTGCCGTTTAAAGATGTTTGTAGCTTGTACATTTTCTGAGCTGTCAGACATTTTGTTATTGATACTTTAAAGGTCATCTACCACAAATTGATGGCTAGAGCAAGACCTTTTACATTGGGATTATTCTCCCGTCATCCCACCCCTTAACCCCTTTTTACAGAAAGTTTAGTTACTATCTAAGTAAGGCAGAACACACATCCAATCTGTTACCAGCAAGCAGCATGAAAGTAGAAAAGAAGAGGCTGTTGGAGGGGTCCCATTACCTGCAAATAAAGGGGCACTCAGACAGCCCTTTGCAATAGCGATGGCGGCAACCAGATATCGCCCGCGACCCGTCATTATGCCATGCCCTGGAGACAACCAACATTGAATCTCTCATTTGTTTGTTGTTGATTGTATTTGTTTGTTTTGATTCTGTTTTGTCCGTCTGTTCAAGCAGAGGGGCAGCAACATTTCGGTTGGAGTCTAGTCCTGGTGTCCTCCTTGGCGTGCGCCAGCACAGAGGTGTTCTGTGGTTGAATAGGAAGAGCCTGTCTAAAAAACTACTGCCCCACTTCAAATCGCAGCGTTCTGTCACCTAGGCATCATCTCTTCCTGCCCCTAGTATTTGATTACAAGGAATCGGGGGGAAAAAAACTTCCTTAGACACACTGGCACCAAGGGGAGAGGTGGGGCTGCCCAGGCAAAGTCAGTGAACGTGGAAAATCAGACAAAGCAGAGATGGAAATAATGCGCCTCTTGAGGAGAAAAGCAATAATGAATAAAAGGACTTTCCTACAATAACTTCACTGAGGACTCACGTTACCAATTTTCATACTTACTAAAGGGACTGTAAAAAACACCCCAGCATTTTAGATGGCTTGGTCACATTCACAGCACTGAGGTAATCTCTCTGCTGTTAGTTGCCCTGCTTGGTTGAGCACCACAATTAAAGACTGTGCTCCCCTTTCCTGGTTCAGAAACAGCTATTTGTTGACTAGAAGGGCCGGCAAGGCAGAGTAGAGAATGAACTCTTGGGCTCATGGGTCAGCTCTCCTTGGAATCGAGTGGGGGGAAAGGCAGTGTGCCCCACCACTTGAGGAAAGCCTGACCTGGTGCTAGTTTCCTCACTTGGAGAGCCAAGGATAAGTGACTCTCTCATAGGTTCTTCTGTACAGATTTCATTTTCTAAACTGTCCTAGCACCCAGTGGTTCTGCACAGGCAACTGCAGGGATGTTGAACCCCCACTCCTCCTGTGCTGGGGATGCAAGGAAATTCTAGTCCCCATCTACCCGCTAAAATTCAGAGCCGTTTTTGCAATTAGCAAAGTATACTGTAAACCAAGCAATACATCACCAACAAGCACTCTTTCAGAAAAATCACCACATTTTCTCCCCACTAAAAGCTGCTTTTTTTCAGCTTAATGTGGCTAAGGGACTTGGTGAGGTTTTTCGTTACAGTTAAGATTTTTTATAGCCAAGATATCAAAGGTTGCCAGCATAGACCTTTGCAGTGTATTTTAATTACAAACACTTGATTTGGGGAGTTGCACAGATTAACCTCACAATATCACTAGGTCATTTTTAGATGTATGAACATTCTGTAATAATCGCCAGTTGCACAAGTATCCTTTTTAGAATCATCTTCAAATTCATATGATATTCAGAACTATGAACATTGAAAACAGGGACAATTTGTGTTGGATGGTACTAAAAGGAACTTTTTTTTTTAAATATTCAGGCAACAGCATAATGATTTTCAGGTCAAATTCTATCTTCAAAATATGCGCCCTATATTTTCTGCCAGATCTGAAAAAGTCATCAGGCAGTTTCCCTTCAACAAGGGCTGCAAATCTATTGATAAATAGCTTCTTTAGCTACACAATCTACTACCCACAGAGCATTGGTTTTTGTTTGTTTGTTTTTTTTTAACCAACTGGAAAGTTTTTTATCTGTACTGTATGCAACTCTGAATTCTCATTGCCTGTGGCCATTTTGAATAGAAAAAAGCCTCTGGGTGCCTTGATGCATGCTAGCACTGGGTACTGGTCAGTGGCAAAGAACACAGAGAGTGGCAAACACAGCCCCAACCAAGGCCTGCTCTGCGTGTCCGGACCCCTGCTTAGCAGTCGTGGAGAATCACTCAGGTGAAGTGTCGACTTGGTTTAATTCTGCCTGCTCTCCTGAGAAGGGCTGGTCCTCGTCTCCGCTGAGAGATGTCTTCAGAGTGTTCCAGGTAGACGTGGTTTTTAGAATTTATAGAACTGACAGCCAGTGGGAGCTTCCTGAGTGACAGCTTGATTTAAATTTAGCATGAAACCCAGTGAGCTGCTTCTCTCTAATAACATGGTAAAGGTTCGGAAGTAAGCTTTTTCTCTTCATCCTCTGAAGGTGGAAACTAGACTCAGATGGGAAATTATCTCATGAAGTCTGTCAGCATTATGCCATTTCCTGCTTTGGACTCTCAGTACTTCTAAGGAGGGATCCAAGCCCAAGTGCTGAGCGGGTTGCTGACCCAGCCCCAGGACTGAAGCTTCCCTGGGTTTGTCTGGGGACACAGCAAGTTCTCCTTGGTGGGTGTCTCACTAATGTTTCCCCGTGGAAGGGTAAGTGGTTTGGGAGAGAAGGCATTGGGCTAGAGAGGACAAATATCTTCAGGCGTGGAAAAACCTGCTCCCATCTTCTGTCTGTTCTAGCCTCTTTGAAAAAGCACAGTAAGTAGATGAGGTGCAACAGAAAAAGAGGAAGAGAATCCAAAGGATTCATAAGTTGTTGCGTAACTAGAAGCATACTTGGGTTTTAAATTTGAGTTTGCAGCTGGGCATTTGTGTGTGTTTGGGAATGTCTATACAGGTAGCCGTCATGGCTTGCTGGCTGCAGTAGGCCTGATGACCTCTTTGCTGGGTAGAGATTAGAGTTCAAGGGAGTTCACATCATTTGAAAAGTGACAAGGTTCAGACTTTGAGGTTTTAGGAGGCTCCCTCTTAAGTTTGATTCCCTGATCTTAAGTTGGTAGGAAAAAGATTCACACTTCCCCAGCACCTCCAGCCCCATCCTGTCAATTGTGTGTGGACTCTGGGAAGCCTGCTTGATAACTTGTCTTAAGTTCTATTAAGACATTTTAGGCTGAAATTCCTAATGGCTTTACCATAAGATTGTACTACTTCCTGGTATTACTTTTATAAAACACTATAGGACATTTATTTTCAAAAGCAGTTGAATAGCAGTAACATAAACCACATTTTTTTTTAAGAGTACTTTTTATTCACTTGAGAGTTTAAGTGGAAAATAGGAAAAGGATTGTCAGAGGGGAGAAAGCTTACAAAATGCTACCGTGTTTACAGATGCCAGTTCTAAATGATTAGAAAGGCCATTCTCATTGTGGTTGAAATTTGGAATCACTTATAGAAAGACTGCGTTCTTTTTTTTATGGCTTTTTTTAACTTCAAATTGCCATTTGTCTTTTAAACATAAATATAATTCTGTACTTTGAAATCAGTTCATTAGAGCGATAACATGTATATGGATAAAGATGCAGTATTCCTTATTCTGTTCTTTATTAATTATACTTACCAAAGCTGCAGTTGAATAAATCTGTTGAGGTGAGGCCTTCAAATGTATTAATACATCTTTGTTATGTTGTTATGACTGCTTAGAAATGTAGCCATGGTGTTGTTATAAAGGTGTCTTAATATTTATAGTAAGGATTGGCAGAATCTAAGCAGTATTAAGAATACCACCATCCATGATACATTGAGTTACAGTCATCATATAAGGGACTGATCATAAGATAACTCTTGTGAATCATCATAGGCCCAGGAAGCCTTAATACTCATAGTCCATAATCCACACTCAGATTTTGTTCTTAACTAATGCCTCTAAAATTAGGAGGAAAATGTATTCTGCAACTTCATTGATCAAATCTCTTCCTTCAGTTTTCTAAGGTAGTACATCTCATTAAAAAAATCTTTTCATTTGCTTTGGTTTTGTTTAGAAAAGGGGTTTGGAAAGTCAGTGTCTTCCGTAGTACATTTCTACTTGTCCCCATGCTGCCTTCAGTTTACCTGTACAGGCGCGCCCACCTTATGCATACCTGTATACACCCCTGTTTATGTGTGGGCTAATAAATAGCAACAAAGAACTTTTTTAAAAGAATAATTTGTAATAATTCATGCTGTATAAATGTAAATTATTTACCTTATTAGGGAATCAGCTTATAATGCTATGTATGACTCTGCCTGCATTTTGTAGTTAAGAAGTGTACATACAAATTTAAAATGCTATATTTTCACAGTTTCATTATAGAGTAATGTCTGTTTTAGTAACCCATGTCCATTGGTTCTTTAAATATGCTAAATACTGTGCAATTGCAATAGAAATTCAGATTTTCATAAGAAAATGAAATAGGATACTGCATCTTTAAAAAAAGAGTGAAAATATTTTACTGTATTCATAACATATGTGATAGTAGAAAAAGTATTTTCAGACTCACAAATTTTACAGAGGTTGTAAATAGTTTGATGAAGTATGTCGGGGAAAAGAGCTTCTAGTTTTCATCACAATAAAAAAAAAGAGACTTGTTCAGATATGCCTTGTATATCTTATACACAATTATCAGTGTTGCCATGGAAACTCTGTTCCACTTTGTCAGAGCATATACCTTGTGCTCTGAGAAAATGGAGTGGCCACTTGTCTCAGTTTAGCCCAGATGGTTTAAAACACAATGAAGTCATTTTAAGTTGCAAACAACTGATTCGAAATTCAAAAAGTCTTTTCCTTAAAAGGGGAGCACAGCTGCCCAGGACATGACTTATGCTCAAGAGAAGCATCTAGCAATTGTTCTCTTTTCTCAATTACCTTCCTATTCAAGGAAATAATGCTTGATCAAAAAAACTATATAGGTGTTTATTCTTGTTTAATTCCAGAGGGGGAATACTTTTGGAGTAGCTACATGTTGACAAGATTAAGTGCTATGGATATGGCCACATGTTAAATGAATCTGTACTGGCAATTAAGAATAAGCTAATGCCCATTTTCATAAATGAATTAAAAGCTGAAAGTGCCTGTCAATAAACGTTATGACCAATGAGATATTCCTGTACTCTCACACAGCAATAATTCTTCATCAGACTAGGTCTTTCCTCCACATTTGGGAAACACACACAGAATAGAGTAAATATATGCACGTAGTAAATTGAATCTGTTCACATAACCACAAAAATTCTTTTGTGTCTTTTTAAATATACCTAATCTTGTTTATGTTAGCTTTTCTTGGTTTAATCTTTCTTGCTTACAGAATATAAGAATTCAAGTCTGCATATTAAGGCTATCGTCAATGTATACTCTGGCATATGGTAATTACAATTTTGAGATAAAAATTCACTGGGATTAGGCCCGAATTTACGAAACACCATGTGTGGCTCAAAAAGTTTTGCTCAGTTAACAAAAGCCAATTTGTTTAGAACAAAACACTAGAGATATTTGTTTGTTTGCTTGTTTAACTTTGTCATATCCATAATATCAAATGCACTAATCCATCTTTATTTCTCTATTTCCTTTTTCTCTATTTCCTGTTGCCATCTAACAGCCATTTTGGAATGAATATCAACACAATCATTCACCCTAAAAAGTCTACTGAAATATGGCTGAAACTTAAAAAAGCCTAACTTTTAACCAAGCTTTGCAGTTGGTCCTGGAAATGACCAGATTTACATTCACAATGGCACAACCTTTTCCTATAATTATTTTACTGCTAAAAGTAGAGTTATTAAAAATATATACAAAAAATATATACAATGAGATTATATGAATAGACAAGAGCTCTGGAAATTCTCCAGACTTACCAACTCAGAATGCAAATCTATCCAAACAAGTTATTGAGGGCTATCAGTAAAATTAGACAATTTAAAAGCCAAACATTTGGTCAGAGCAATTTAAAAAGTCTGTGATTAAACACTCAGGCTTTAGACACTGAAGACTCCCACGATAGACAGTGTTCTCCGGAACCAGACCACAGGCCTAAACCCATCTACTATTTCCTCCTCTACACTTCAGAAAGAAAAGAAGGAAATATGCCTGGATAGGGTGTAAAACAACCAATTCAGCATCAAAGGGAAGCTGCTGGGTTCCTTAATCTCATGGAAGTCATGGCTCTTGACTGGGCTGTTTACTGCCAAGTTGTCTGAAGGTACTGAAAGAACGTTAGTTCTTGGAAAAGTAAAAAATTCAGCAAACTAGGAAATAAGAGCTATGGTTTATTAAACCCTGACTATATGATGAGCACGATACCAGGTAATTATTAGACTCATTCCTCTCATCTGTACAACGGTTCTACATTTTATGGATGAGAAACTGAGGTACAGAGAGATTAGCTGAGTTTTCCACCAATAGAAATAGTGGACGATAGAGTGGGAATGTGAAGCTACCTATCACTGGCTCTGAAGCCTGCCTTATTTCTACCACATCACTCTGCACGTGTGTTCCCAGAAGCCAGATTTCCAGATTTCTAACTCTTCCGTAGTTTTATTATGGATGCATAGTCCTCATATTTTCTATGTAAGACATAGGAACATGATACAGCACATGATTTGACAGTGGTGCATAATATATGAAATCAGTCTTCTGGAAAGCCATGCATGAAGGATCATTTTAAGCAAACAGCAACAACCAGACATCTCCGTGAACTTACACTTACCTCCTAAATGTCTGTCTTAGAGATCCAAAAGTCGTCAAAACTTTTACGTACTTACTAGCATTTTCACAAGAGTAGGGTATTCTCAATTCTGCATATTTCTTTGTAGCTATATTAAAGCCTTCCCACCTATACAGACTTCTAGACTCTGCGTAAGTTGCGTTTGAAATGTTCACCTCTGCGGAGCTGGTTGCTCACCCCGAGCCTACTCTTGGCGGCCATTGCTGGGGCAGCCATGAAGCATTCAGTGGATGAGCAAGGAGAGAGAACAGATAAGTCCTTTTCAGATTTCTCACCTAACAACACCGCCTTGGAATGTTTTAAATAGTCTTATAAATAATTTTTTTATTGTGTTTGTTATTAGTTTCATTGAATTTTATGTAAGAAGCTGTCCTACATCAAAGAAATGAACCCCCTCCTTTTCTGTGTGGAACAAGGTCTCTGACAGAATTGATCCATGGGAAGTACTAATGGATTTGGAAAACATTAAGTGAATATCATTTCTCATGGTTTTTCTTTTTCTGAAAATGAATCCCCTGAATTATATTTCTCCCTGTTATTTGCTGAGGGAAGAGAGAAAACCTGTATAAACAAATCCCGTCCGTGCTGAAAGCAAGTGCTGGGTGCACACAGCTGCCGCGGAGAGGGGCTCTCTCCTCAGTTAATTGGGTTTCACTAGCCATCATTTCTCAACAACAAAACCACAACTTTGAGTTGAAAGGAGGTGAATAGTGGAAATAGTCACATCAGTATGTTTTGCTTTCTGCATTTCATTTCTAGAAATTAAAAATGTTTGAAACAACAGAGTTTGGCCTTTGTGCGAAGCAAGACCAAAGGCTCTTTGTGGGAATTATTATATCTTGCTTTCTCCAAAGCAGGCTTAGCAAGACTTTCACAGAGATTCATTTTTGTTGAAAAATGAGGGTGAATAGGAGGCTAGAATTTGGGTCAAATTCTTGTTGAAGTGCTCAAGTACTCAAAAAGCAAGATATTTTAGGGACATACCAACATCTTCCCTTTCTGCTAATTTCATGCTATGAAGATAACAACAGAAAACTTAGAACATGCTTGTGCCCTAATATTTCCTGTTGCCATCTAACAGCCATTTTGGAATGAATATCAACACAATCATTCACCCTAAAAAGTCTACTGAAATATGGCTGAAACTTAAAAAAGCCTAACTTTTAACCAAGCTTTGCAGTTGGTCCTGGAAATGACCAGATTTACATTCACAATGGCACAACCTTTTCCTATAATTATTTTACTGCTAAAAGTAGAGTTATTAAAAATATATACAAAAAATATATACAATGAGATTATATGAATAGACAAGAGCTCTGGAAATTCTCCAGACTTACCAACTCAGAATGCAAATCTATCCAAACAAGTTATTGAGGGCTATCAGTAAAATTAGACAATTTAAAAGCCAAACATTTGGTCAGAGCAATTTAAAAAGTCTGTGATTAAACACTCAGGCTTTAGACACTGAAGACTCCCACGATAGACAGTGTTCTCCGGAACCAGACCACAGGCCTAAACCCATCTACTATTTCCTCCTCTACACTTCAGAAAGAAAAGAAGGAAATATGCCTGGATAGGGTGTAAAACAACCAATTCAGCATCAAAGGGAAGCTGCTGGGTTCCTTAATCTCATGGAAGTCATGGCTCTTGACTGGGCTGTTTACTGCCAAGTTGTCTGAAGGTACTGAAAGAACGTTAGTTCTTGGAAAAGTAAAAAATTCAGCAAACTAGGAAATAAGAGCTATGGTTTATTAAACCCTGACTATATGATGAGCACGATACCAGGTAATTATTAGACTCATTCCTCTCATCTGTACAACGGTTCTACATTTTATGGATGAGAAACTGAGGTACAGAGAGATTAGCTGAGTTTTCCACCAATAGAAATAGTGGACGATAGAGTGGGAATGTGAAGCTACCTATCACTGGCTCTGAAGCCTGCCTTATTTCTACCACATCACTCTGCACGTGTGTTCCCAGAAGCCAGATTTCCAGATTTCTAACTCTTCCGTAGTTTTATTATGGATGCATAGTCCTCATATTTTCTATGTAAGACATAGGAACATGATACAGCACATGATTTGACAGTGGTGCATAATATATGAAATCAGTCTTCTGGAAAGCCATGCATGAAGGATCATTTTAAGCAAACAGCAACAACCAGACATCTCCGTGAACTTACACTTACCTCCTAAATGTCTGTCTTAGAGATCCAAAAGTCGTCAAAACTTTTACGTACTTACTAGCATTTTCACAAGAGTAGGGTATTCTCAATTCTGCATATTTCTTTGTAGCTATATTAAAGCCTTCCCACCTATACAGACTTCTAGACTCTGCGTAAGTTGCGTTTGAAATGTTCACCTCTGCGGAGCTGGTTGCTCACCCCGAGCCTACTCTTGGCGGCCATTGCTGGGGCAGCCATGAAGCATTCAGTGGATGAGCAAGGAGAGAGAACAGATAAGTCCTTTTCAGATTTCTCACCTAACAACACCGCCTTGGAATGTTTTAAATAGTCTTATAAATAATTTTTTTATTGTGTTTGTTATTAGTTTCATTGAATTTTATGTAAGAAGCTGTCCTACATCAAAGAAATGAACCCCCTCCTTTTCTGTGTGGAACAAGGTCTCTGACAGAATTGATCCATGGGAAGTACTAATGGATTTGGAAAACATTAAGTGAATGTCATTTCTCATGGTTTTTCTTTTTCTGAAAATGAATCCCCTGAATTATATTTCTCCCTGTTATTTGCTGAGGGAAGAGAGAAAACCTGTATAAACAAATCCCGTCCGTGCTGAAAGCAAGTGCTGGGTGCACACAGCTGCCGCGGAGAGGGGCTCTCTCCTCAGTTAATTGGGTTTCACTAGCCATCATTTCTCAACAACAAAACCACAACTTTGAGTTGAAAGGAGGTGAATAGTGGAAATAGTCACATCAGTATGTTTTGCTTTCTGCATTTCATTTCTAGAAATTAAAAATGTTTGAAACAACAGAGTTTGGCCTTTGTGCGAAGCAAGACCAACGGCTCTTTGTGGGAATTATTATATCTTGCTTTCTCCAAAGCAGGCTTAGCAAGACTTTCACAGAGATTCATTTTTGTTGAAAAATGAGGGTGAATAGGAGGCTAGAATTTGGGTCAAATTCTTGTTGAAGTGCTCAAGTACTCAAAAAGCAAGATATTTTAGGGACATACCAACATCTTCCCTTTCTGCTAATTTCATGCTATGAAGATAACAACAGAAAACTTAGAACATGCTTGTGCCCTACTTGTTTCCAGTTTTCCCCTAGCAGACTTCTGTGATTACATCCAGACTACAGTATATATTTTGTGGCTCAAAACTTTCTCTTGCACTGGATGGGTGTTACTGAACTGGGGCACTGGTGCCTATATTCAAGGCTCTTTCCTATCAACTTGTCTGTCCACAATGTGTTGTGTTTAAAACTTCATTTTTCAAAATCACCATCTCCCTGCCAGAATGGTGGTTCTGTTGTTTTTTTCATGTCTATGTGGGACTCATTGCATCACATGGCCAACCAACTGTCCATGGATATGAGAGAACTACTTACAAAAACCAGCTTGAAAACATCGTCTTGTGTATTACATCATCCTGCCTCACAATGCAATTATATGTATCATAACATACTCATTTTAAAAAAGAGAAACCAGCAAATTCATGTTTGTCCATAGAAGAATGTACTCAGAACTTTTTGTATTGTGAAACGATGAGAACCGACCACCTTTAAGATACCCACCTGCCACTTAAAATGACTTAGTTATAATTAGTAGTAGTATAGGCATTGCTCTCGGTGTGTGGGGGTCAATTCCAATGTCATTCTTTTGAATAATATCTCTAAGTCGTATTTTAAAAACTACATGGGAATAAAGAAAAATGTCATCTTTGGCCAAATCAAACAGGCATCTTTTTCCTTTTCCTTGACACTATCTCATTATACATGGTGATTAGATCACAAAATCTATCAGTGTAAAAATAGAAAAACATCTTTTTGTTTACACAACAGTTATTCTAGGCTTGAAGCCTCTGAACAGCAAATTGAATAGAAGCGCTGTGTCTGATTGACTTTACAGATACAATTTTACAAAAGACTCTTGGGTCTCTGACCCCGGAGAGTTGGAGTGCCCAGAGGAAATCCTACCATTAAAGGGTAAAAACCCCCCCAATGATGCTGGCAAGCAAATGTGTTAATTTCTTAAATCTCCATTTAGTTTTCTGTTCAGAGTTTTAATTGCAAATGAATTTCTTTCTCCAGCTTATCTAAAGATCTAATTTCCCAATAGTTTCCTCTGCATTTATATACTCTGTAGCGTTTAGGCAACCCCTGTTATGAGTTCATTAATATTATGTAAGTGTTGTTCTTGTATTTATGTATAGTGTATGTATTGTAAATATACTCAGAGCTTTTTTCCTTTTACTGTAAAATGGTGATTTTTTTTTTTTTTTTGCCCTATGATAATGTAAAGGGAGACCCTCCTAATGAGATTCTCTCAGAGGATGATTATTCCAGTCTATTCTCAGAGATTTAAATGAACAAGTGTTATTGTTTTTAATGGTGTCTCAGACATATTCTGTTGGTGCATTGCTTTTCTGTATTCAACTTTCCTATGAATTGAGCTGTGAACCGAAATAGAGTTTAAACCTTTAACTGTATGCATTTGTATAATTATCTGAATGAAGGCATGAAGGTTAAATAAAGCATTTTGTATGGAACAAAACTCCTTAATTATTCCTAAGCCTGACTCAGACACTTTGGCAATCATAGTTATTAAACATTCTAATTAAACCTTTGTTATGAAACATTTTACCATTTGTGTATAGTTAGTTTAAAACACAGAACAAGATAGACTACAGTAAAAAATAAACAGGGTTTTTATTTAATGAGCCAGCACTGAAAGAGGGATTCCTAACTTAATATTTTAATGTGTGGAAAATGAAAAAATGGTTCAGAAATATGAAGTGATAAAAAATATGTCTTACAGAGTCTAAAACTTAATCTCTGTAATTGAATGAATTATATCTTTTTCAGACTTTTTGTTATCATTTAACTGTAGAATGATCCACCTTAACAAGGCTAGTTTATTTCTGTAAATTTTTAAGAAAAACTAAGCTTTTGCAAAGAAGACCATTAATGGACAAAATATCTTTTAAATAATTGCTAAAATAGTCATTTGAAAAATCTATTCAAGTATCATCCTATATGCTATCCTTCAATTGAAGATCTAGAGAAATCCGTTCTATAATGAGAATAGTAGTAAATACTACTAACAATTATACAGAATACTGATATGATAATTTAAATATATGAGTACTTCCTAGATTCAGGAAGCATCTGTTCAGTTTACTTATTACAAAAATCCTGATTTAGGTACTTTCATTATCCTAATTTTACAGATGAAGAAGTGAGACATAGAGTTTAGGTAACCTTCCCAGTCAATCTGTTTCCAGAATTGGTGGATGTGGCCACTAAAGGGCTATGGATCAAAAATGGAAAGATGATAGGAGGTAAGGAGTGGGGGCTGATGTCGGGAAGAGAGTTCATAGCAATGAATATCATGGAAACAGCAAGTATCTTTGATTATGTACATACATATAAACCCAACAAAATACTACACTCATACTTGACAAACTATAGTTTAATAACATAAAAATCAGACAAATTAATTTGGACTCACTTTCTTAGTGACTAAAATTAATTGCAAGATGAATGCTGAGTTCTGTGACATCGTTCTTGTACTATTGGGCACCACCTGGAGAGAGCACAGGGGCCACACATCTCACTCCATTCCTGTCCAAACACACGTCTTCCGTTTGGGAGGCTCCGTGCCCTGCAGCGGTGACTTTTCCAAACCTGCCTGCCTTGAGCACAAAGAAGGCGTCCTAAGGAAGTGACTTCCTCCCCCAGCAAGAGCTTCCTTGGTACTTTCGTGGTGATTACAATGCCAACTTTACAGAAGAACTTACTCGCTAAAAGATTCTAAGAGTCTTTGAAAATCGAAGCAGTCAACCATGAATACATTTTTACTAAATTATTTGTGAA